AAGTCAGAATTTGAATTATCAAGTTATAACACCTTTACTTGTTTTTGAAGCAACCATGACAAACATCTTCCCAAAGCTTGTACCATGCTATTGTAGAGTGGTTGAACTTTAAACAAGATTTCTTATGACTTATAGATGTTGTGTGTGCAAAAAGAACAAGTGCAAAGCTCAAGACAAGTTGACTTTGCATAAAGCTTGCTTTTTCAAAATGGAAGTGGTGACTTTCTTCCTTAAATGACAAGGTGTATTGGACAAAGCTTAAATCAAGTGGTTCATAGCTCAAAAACTTGTGTAATCTTCTAATTAAGAATAGATACACAAGTTATAGGGTTTGAAAAGTGGGATTATGCATCATTGCTTGGAATTGGATCAAGTGTTCATCATGAAAATGACTTGAAAAACAAGTTTGAAACCCTAACTTCTTGCCTTTGATTCTCCTAGCTCAAGAATGATCTCAATGTGTTCTTGGACATTTTGGAAAGCTTGTAACATGTTCTACAACCTTTATGGTGGACGTTTTTAAAGAATAAATTTGGAACTAGGTGAAAAGTTTCCATGAATTTGGTACCAAAAATCTGCCTAACTAGGGCAAAATTTCACTAAGTGTTTAAGTTTCATGAGCATGTCTTCATGAATTAATAACTTGCAATCCAAGAATTTTTAGAACTTGATTCCTTATACAAAGTTTTAGATCTAATTGAGATCTAAAACTTTAATGTTGGAAGTTTTTCTTGAATCACCTTGCATCATGATGAAAAATTGGCACAAAGTTATGAAAAAAGTAAATTTTCCAACACTTAGAAAAAATTTTAAGTCTTGGAAATTTTGACTTTTCAAAGTGAATTTTGACTTTTTGATTTCTTGATGAAAAAAATTCATATTTTGACATGTCTTGATAAAATATAATTTTTGAAACTTGATTTTGATCAAAAAGTCAAAGTTTGACTTTTCAGTGTATTAGTTGACTTTTCATCAATTGACTGAATTTCTACTACCAATCAATTGATCTTTGGAAGTGTTTTGAACCATACCATTAGGAAAAAATGATACATTTGAATCATTAATATCATTTCTCAAACCAATAAGTCATGCATTTGGTCAACAGTAAAAAATTAAGCCTCTTCAGTTAAAACCGTAATTTTGACCATTTTGCCCTTTTGGTGATTTGATCAAATTTCTTGAGGAATTGTGATCCAAAATTGATCAATTGACATATATGAGTTCAAAATGTTGATATGGATAAAAATTATGGAGTTTGACTGTAAATTGACCACAATTGACCTTTTCCCCAATATAATTGATTTTAGGTCAATTGATCAATTGATTGAGCAAAAATGTGATCCCAAGCTTGAAACTTGACATGAACAATCTTAGGAGTCCAAAATGATCCATGAAAGTTATATGAAGCATTAAAAGTCCAATTTTCCTTGTATAAACCCAAACCCTAAATATTGAGTCATTAGTGTTTGAGGAGGTGTCTTGAGCTGATCAAACCTTGTGCAGTCTTGAATTAATAGAGATCTTGTGAGAGAATTATTAAGAAATTGAGAGGGAAAATTTTGGGGTACAACAGATGCTTTGTTTATTATGATGGTATGATGATGTTATAACGATGCTTTGTTTATTATGATGATATGATAATATTGTGATGAATTCATGAATGATGATGCATTTTGACTAGTCATGGTTGTATTTATCATGTTGTTGCGCATCATGCATTCATGGAATAGTTTAGGACTTTGGTCCAATGGTGTTTTTAGGACTTCAGTCCAGTGAAGACGATAGGATAATAGTCCAGTGAAGGCATAAATCCCATAGTGTGGATTGAATGCAAAATCATGAAGTGCTCTGGTTCCAAGTGGGAATTGATCCTATTGGTGGGGATCTTTGGAGAAAATGATGACTGGATCATCATTGAAGTTTTGGTACCACATGCACGAGTCTATGATGTTGCGTTATATTATATGTGATGTTCCATAATGATTTGATTAGATGATGCTCGATGATAAATGTCGTGTAATGATATGTTGTTGTGTATTCATGATGTTGTGAAGGTGTGAGTACAGCATGAGGTTCTAATGATGTGTGATTCCTTTCCTATGTACATGTCTACTATATTTATTCCTTATGTATTTTAGAATGATTATGATTTACTCATCCTTTCTGATTGGAAATGTTACCTCTATCTGTGGGTAACTTGCAAGTGATCAGGAATAGTACACTGAAGGTTAGAAGATAGCCTCAAATTATGTTTATTTGCTTTTCGTTGAACAAAAGGAGTCTTGCTCTGATATCTAACATAGGGGTTGGGATCGATTGGGTGTGAACCATGCATTATTTTATTATACCGAGATTTCGTATTACATTCATCATTTTTGCTATGTTTCGCATCATGATGTTATAAACATGAAGTGTGATGATTTTATTAACATGTGAACTACCTTTTATGATTTTGAGATTATTTTATGAACAAGTTTAAGACTCATTAAATTCCGCTGTGAAGTCTGAAATGAATTAGTTCTGATACTAAAGATTATATTTAAGTGTCTTGTTGAAACCCTTGTTACGGAGCAGGATTATTTGTGAAATGATGCTTATACGAAGATGTGACACCTTTGTTATTGTTTTACAATTATTTATTTATTAAAAATATTCTTGAAAATCATGGGGTTTTAGAAGGGTGTTACAAAGTCCAACTCAGCCATGTCATTCTCAAGGGTTACTCCCAATTTCTCCACCAACATATCCAACACCTTTATTTGTCAATCCTTTCATGGTCTAAGAATGTCCCTCTAATCGATAGATGCAGCAGAGACGCGACATCGTCTAGTGTGATCGTCATCTCACCATGTAGTAGATGGAATACTGACGTCTCATAGTGCCATCTCTCAACAAAAGCGTTAATCATACCATGATTAATGGTGCTATAACCACACTTGGTCAAATCTTTTAACCATGTAAGCATCAACAACTCATCAAACCATGGATCAAAAGGGGCTTTGAGTTTACTGATCTTACGCCCATGATTAATGACCTTCAGCGGATCACGTACCTGTATTCATGATTGAAAAAATTCATTCAACAAAAATCCATAATAAAATGTAATAGAAGGAACAAGTCAAAATTTATACCTCTATGTCCCATATATATCTAGCAACATGGTCAGGATACAAAGGCAATAGAGATAAATCAGACGGTCCTCCTCTAAAACTCTAAGGCTCTGCAGGTGCCGCCTGAGGTACCTGAGATGTCTGGGGTGCCTGCTCAGGTTCTGTCTCAGGTGTAGACTCAGATGCCTAGGACGCCTCAGGTGCCTGGGATAAAGGTTATGGTTGGGCCTGAGGTGTTGGTTGTGTGACCTCTAGCGTTGGCTGGGAACCGGATGTGTATCCCGCCTCAAATATCATAGGTGAAGAAGTGCGTCTACGGGAGGACGGAGGTGGTGAGAGATGAAATGGAGAATCCCATGTGATGTGGGAGGACGATGAAGCCGGAGTAGAAACAGGAACACCAGAGATAGATGTTGTAGTATGCGCATCCAACACAGCCTGTCCAGAGGCAGGAGGAGCTTGAGATGCCTGACTCCTTTCTTTCTGCACAGAAACATGATGTGCAAGCAAGTCGTGCCTCAATCTAGATGGTCTCTTAGCCATTACTCCCGTAGAAGTACGAAAAAAATATTAACACAAGGAGCACTGTTCAAAATGATGGGGAAAATAAAAATAGACTAAAATCGAAAATGCATTTCCGGTTCGACTTGTAATTTCAAGCTTCGTCAATGGCGAAGCAGAGGCACAAATAACCTCAAATAAAATGTCATTTTCAAGCAGTTAACTAATGATGCCTAATATTGAAAACAAACAACAAAATCTCAATTTCTAACCTAAATCACTAAATCGAGTAGAAATTACATAAACTCCAAAAAACTCAAAAATAACTTACAATTGTTGATTTTCCTTGATTGAATGTGGTTGAACACTTGAGTTAACTAATGCTTGACGATTTGTGATATTTTTTTTGTGAATTTGGTTTGATTTTGTAACAATTGTGTTTGAGAGAAATGAGTATTTGAGTGTGGTATGCTTTTGTTGTTTTGAAAACAATTTTGTAATGAGTGAGGGAAAGAGGTGTGACGCGTTTAAGTCGCAATCAAAAACCGAAATTATATTTCCAATTTATACCGTAATTGAATTTATGGTTTATATATTGCTTTTAACTTGGATTTTTAGGTCACACTTATGTTTGGGGTGATATCGAAAATATATTTTTAATTTGCGTTCAACTTTTTTATAAATTTATTCTTGTCATAATGTGCACCGAAAATATATTTTCGATTTTAAAAGGTATTTAATTAATTTAGCATGAGTTAGAAAACCATAGGATTGAATAAGAGATTGCCTATATTTCAACATAAACATCGCATTAAATTCTATATGTGTTTAATGCATGTTTTCAGGAAAAAAGTAAACCGCTCATGAAGAAATTTTAAACCGCTCATGAAGAACGAAGAGAATAATGCATGTTTAAACCGCTCATTAAATTTATAAAAATAAACCGCTCATTAAATTTATAAAAATAAACCGCTCAATCTAATTTATTAAAAATTTATTGCCTTAAAACGAAGAAAATAAAATGCCTCAAAAGGCATTAAACTATATGTGTTTATGTAACGAAAAATTCAGGAAAAAAATCTAGAAAATTCTTCGTTTAATTGAGCGGTTTATTTTCTTCATTTTATTTTCTCTATCTGTTCATTAAATTCTATATGTATTTGATGCTTGTTTAAACCGTTCATGAAGATCGAAGAAAATTTTCTTCGTTTTAAGGCAATATATGGAATAAATGTCATTTAATTTATATATACTTTTACTATTTTGATTTATATTTTTCTTATATATGTTACAAATAATTAATTATACTATTTTCACGTCTGCAAGAGTTTATTTAAGAATCTAACTAACTTATTTTTGATAGAAAACTCTTTCAAATATTTAGCAAGAATGTTTGGTTTTTCATGTTCGATACTTATTTTCTTCTGTTTTTCTTATTTCATTTGTCTTTCTCATGCATTAAATAATGGTTTCAGTATTGAACTTATTCATCGCGACTCTTCAAAATCACCTATCTATAATCCAATGGAGACTAAATTCCAAAGAGTATACAATGTTGTTAATCGTTCAATCGATCGATCTAATCACTTCAGCAAACAATTTTCACTCAATATAAAAAAACCCGTATCAACTTTAATCCCGGACTCTTTTGAATATTTCATGAGTTATTCTATTGGTACCCCACCTTTTAAGACCTATGGTATTATGGATACGGGTAGTCCCTTAGTATGGCTTCAATGCCTCCCTTGTAAGACATGTTACAATCAAACGTCTCCTATATTTAATCCTTTAAAATCTTCAAGTTACGAAACTATACGTAGCTCTTCTAGGAGATGTAAACTTGCGAAAGATTTAGTTCCATCTTGTTCTCAAAATAAAGATGTTTGTCAATATAATATTACTTATGGTGGTGAAATAAAATCACAAGGAGATCTTAGTCTGGAGACTCTAACATTAGATTCCACTTCTGGCTCATTTGTTGTGTTTTCTAAAATTGTGATAGGATGTGGACACATAAGTATGCTTCCGATATTAGATCGAGGCTCAGGTATAGTTGGAATGGGAAGTGGGCCAATGTCGCTTATACAACAATTAGGTTCGTCAATTGATAGAAAATTCTCATATTGTTTGAATACTTTTAATAGTGATTTTGATGAATCAAACTTCTCTAACAAACTCAACTTTGGAAATGCTGCTATTATTTCCGGTGAAAGAGTTGTTTCAACTCCCATGATCAAATTCAAAGGTGCTTACGCTATAACATTGGAAGCATTTAGTGTTGAAAACCAAAGAATAGAATATGAAGGAGCAAATACTTATAATAAAACCATCATTATTGACTCGGGCACACCATTGACGATGTTGCCACCTCATTTTCACTCTAAGTTGGAATCTGCAGTTGCAAAACTAGTTAAACTACATCGAATTGAGCTACCTAATCGTGAATTGAGCCTTTGTTACAATACTACATTGGAACAATTAAATAATGTTCCTATTATCACGGCACATTTTAGTAGTGCAGATGTCAAGTTAAATTCTAATAACACATTTATTGAATTTCAAAAGGGAACTTTTTGTTTTGCTTTCATCCCATCCAGAGGTTCTATCATTTTTGGAAGCATTGCACAACATAACTATTTAGTTGGTTATGATCTCGAAAATAATGTAATCTCTTTTAAGCCTACCGATTGCACCAAGTATTAATGGAATCAAATTTATTTGGTTAATCAATAATATGAATAAAAATGCTTTATTAATGCAAAAATTACAACATCCTTTCAACTCGTAACTATTTACTATTTCATTGCCTAATCCATAAATTGTAGTTTTTTACTACCCCATACTACATTAACTATTTAATCAGATCTAAGAAAAATGACTGTAATTTTTCTTGTCTTTCATGTTTTTTTTTAAAGTGATCGATAAACTATTGTTCAAGCGCTTTACTCTAAGCGTTTAGGTTGCTATGAATTTAGTTTCATTATTATGTCTATTAAGAATCTTTTGAATTTGTTTTCAAATTTTAAAGTAAAATTCATTAAATGCTAAGTTAATTCGATTGTCTATATATTAACTAAGACGATCAATTTTTAGATAGACGCAATATCTTTAGTATGATACCTCTGTTAATTGAACATTATTTGTTTAATGATAATGTTAAGTTTGTTTTGTCAAAAAAAAATTCACGTGTGTCAAAATTTAATAGGAGCAGTGTTTAGGACCAGTAAATGTGATGAAGATTAATTCACTTTTTCAGAGTTGATCACTTGGAAGTTTATAATAATGATAATCTCTTCATAAGATTGTAAATTGGGTTGTCACAAGCCATTCCAATATGTTCTGATCTATCGCATGCATTTAGTTATAGATGAAAGCGGATTCCTTTTATATTTTCATTAAAATTAAAATTCTGTGTTCCCTTCAAATTGTTGATGTTTCTACACTTAACAAATGAGCATTGTTCGTTTATTAGCTTTACTTAAGAATTAGAGTTAAGTGTTTAGTTGTCTACCATCGGACTTATTTGTGTTTAATCCCATTCTGTGGAAAATATTTTATTTCGTTTCCGTTTAATTTTTTTACTCTATTAAAGAGAGAATTAATTATAATTTATGATATTCTCACTGTATACAGACTGAGGAAAAAAATATACATCTTTTACCATTCTCTTCAATATGATAACAAGAGCACTACCCTAAGGGTAGGTTAGGGTTTTACCATTCACTTCAAATTCTATCCGTCCCGCTTTTTTATTTGGTGGAAGATGAATTGGCGGTGGTCGCAGAAAGGGAAAACAACAAAGTTTATAGTGAGAGTTATTCCAATACAGACGGCATGATCAAGAGGGTCTCATAAGTTGGAATAAAATTTGTTCATATTCACTATTACGGAAAATCTATTTCACAATTGTTGAAATAGGGATACCATCACGCGGGTCATACCATTGTTAAATAGCGTGTGGTTGTAAGTAGTCATTTTCCACCATAGTTTAGAAATCGTCATAGAAAGACAGGACGCGCGCTACTAATCACAATGGTTATGAGTAACAACCGTTGTGAGATAGGCATATAAATTACATTTGATTACGGTTACCGTAAGTAACTGTTGTTGAAAGTTACCAGAGTTTATTATATAATATGTAGATTGCTTGTTTTTCCATATACCTCACTAAAGAAATAAAAACATTCAAACTGATGAAGATGTATATAATCTGGAAATTAAACTATTCTTGAAACCCAAATTAAACAAATCACTTTTTTCTGAATTGCATGTCTCTCATCATTCATTTCTAGATCTTTAACATATAGAATATGGTTTAATGGTGTGGCTCCTTCATGGAATCGATATCTTCTCACATAGTTTAATTTCAATAACAATAATTTGTTGACTAAGTCTACCTCATCATCGTCACTTATCATCATGATTGTTTTGATGACTTATCATCATAACAATTACGATGATTAGTGACGATGATGAGGTAGACTTAACCTATAAATTATAATTATTGAAATTAAATTATATGAGAAGATATCAATGTAATAAAGGAGCCAGATCATTATACCATGCTCTATATGTTAAAGAGCTTGTGATGAATGATGAAACCGATGCAATTTAGAAAACATTGATTTATATAAATTGGTTTTTAAATGCAACTTAATTTTTAGATTATAACTATCTATATCAATGTAAATGAATGTAATTTAAGTGAGGGTTAGTGAAACAAATAATCTACGTAGAATATAATAAACTCAAGTACAACAACAACATACAAAAGCGTTTATCAACAAAACAACATCATACTACAGCATTCAGGACATACCTTTTATTGAAACTAATAATGGAAATTCATCTAGTTTACGATAGAATATAATAAACTCAAGTACAACAACAACAACAACAACATACTAAAGCATTTATCAACAAAACAACATCATAATACAACATTCAGGACATATCTTTTATTGAAACTAATAATGAAAATTCATCTAGTTTGCAAAGCTATTAAAAAGAAATATAAGGAGTAAAAAATTTAAACAACAACTTCATAATTCTTATATTTTTTCTCATAGGTTCTCAAACTAGATGAAGTTTTTTGCCGTTGTTATTTCTTTATTTACTAAAATGTTTTGTTCTTGTTGAGACCTACAATAACCATGAAAGTTATCAACATGTGTAACCGCAAAATTATTTGTCAACATAGTATGAAAATCATCTAACAACTTACATCATCAATGAATATACATAAATTCGTGGAACTATAACAAAGTATGAAGTTCATATTATTTGTGAAGCTATGAAGAAAAAATACAAGGTGAGTGAAGTTTCCTTTGATAAGGTAATGAAGACGAATATGAAAAAAAGGAGTACAATCAACAAAAACAACATGCAACAAACGAGATAATGGGGAACTATCTAACAAGAAGGTGGAAGAAGAAGCATACCTTAATGTATGAAGCACAAGATTCACGGCTAATGACAAAGAAGAAGGAAAAATGGGTGCTAGGGTTTCCTTGTGAAGGAAACGACGTTACTATCATTAACTGAGAGTTAATTCGCTTATATATGGGTAAACTATTTCACAACGGTTAACACTACCAACTGTATAGATAAGTATTTATTTATTATAAATATATCACAATAATTAATCAAAAGCACCGTAGCGGTATCCCTTTTATTTGTGAGTTTTAAAATAAATAAAAAAGAAAAGGTCCGCCTTAACGTTAAAGAAATAAAATATTTTATGGCGTTGAGGTTCAAACCCATAAAAGTTTGATTGTATCACCATGGTTGGTACACCAACCACTACTATATACAAATAATTTTTAATCAATAAACAAAATAAATATGTCAACGCCTCATTTTAGAGATGTCACCACGTTGTAGGTAAGAACTGTGGTGAACATGGCGTTGTTGAATGTGCGTTTTGTAATAGTGACTCCTTGTGTTTTGATGATAACAAAGTATTTAAAGAATAACATTTGATCATACTCCTTATATTTTGATGATAACAATATTTGATAAGAATCTAATGAAAATCCATGGATGGAGGAGAGCATTCGAGCGACAAGCCATACCGCAGGTGTCCTAGTACTCGGAACAAAACGACATACATCTAATTATTCCTTCTCCATCACTTAGGACTTGTGATATTCAATTGCGTTTATCACGTTTTTCAGCGGAGATGAGTATCCAAACAATAAACTATACAACATGCACCCAAATACAAGGTCGGCTCAAGAGTAAGGCGGACTAGACCCTTGTCTTGGATCTCAATTTTTTTTCCTTAAACGGTATTTAGCCTAAAAAAAACGTAAACGTTTATATCTTGAAAGCAGTGAAACCTAGTTCATATTGAATGCTTGGCTTAGCAGGTTGGTGAGATGCTCCTTATCAATAAGGTTGGGTGTTGGAAATTAACTATAATTTTACTATATCTTTTCTGTTAGAACTAATTATTTTTTAGTTCTCTTGTTTTTTACTTAACCATTAACTTTATTTTTAACTATAATTTTACTATATTATTTCTTTTAGAACTAATTACTTTTTTAGTTCTCTTGTTTTTTATTTAACCATTCTCTTTATTTTAACAAGGAAAAAATATTTATTTATTAATTAAAGGATAATTTAAATAAATAAATTATTATTGGATAAATTTTTTTTATCTATTTAATTATAATATGAACTTAATATTTAACGTTAAAAATAAATATTTTTTAATTTGTTCCTTACTTAAAAATTAAAACATAAATATTTTTGAAATTGATTATTTCGAGAAATGATGGAACCTTAATAAAAAATATAAATATCTAACTGCCAACTTTAACATTAGTTTCATATATAAAAAAATTTAATTATAAACGTCTTCTGAAAAATGTTTTAATTATAGTAGATGAATAAAAAATATTTTGTTTTAATATTCATTTTAGGTCTCATATTATGTTGGGTCAGCACTGTCCAAATATTCGAGGAAAAGAGGCGCATACGCTTAGCTAGTTCCTTTTCATCCGACTTTATTAAGAAAAAAATTGAAATATTTAGGTTAAGAAAAAAAACTTGGTGTTGATCAAGTGGTTTGATTTTGAATCAAGAGATGATTTGATTTACTTACAAATGAATGGTTGTTAAGCTATTGACTTTACTAAAAAAAGGTTTTGATTTAGTTTTGAAAATGGATTGATTTTTGATCAAGCGTTTTATTCTAGAAAAAGGTTGATTTTATTTTCCCCTTTATTTAATTAGTCAAGTTAATTAATTATCTAAAATGGAAATTAAAAATAAATTAAAGTACAATCAAAGAATGGGGATATATTTTCTACATGAGGATAAAGAAAACAACCAAAAGTTATCCGACTTAAGACCCTATGAAAATAACAAGAGAAACAACTAATTTCTAGCACAAAGCGCGATCATTGCAATCAAATTGAAATACTAATATGCATAAAGTAACTTATCGTGCGAAGCGTGACACCGCAAATTGTGTTGCAATAGTGTATGACTCGATGTAATAAAAATAAAGCAACGCAACAAGAATTAACGTAATGGGAAGGTAACGTAACAGAACGACAATGAACTGAAAATGGCGCACATAAATTCAAGAAAATCCAGTAATTTGCTAACGCACGAGGCGTTCATTGTAAACGAATCAAAAAGTATACCAGACATAACAAACATATGGTTAATACGCATAAATTCGAATAACACAC